ACCGGGAGAGGTGTTTTTCTAAAGGGTCGCTGTGATGAGTGGGCCCCTGAGATGTGAGACAGGGTAAGTCTGTGGTTTACTTTGCGAAAGAGGCTCCTGTGTGTGTCTGTGTGGTATGGCGAAGTGGCTTTCTTTGCCTCTCTCCCTCCCCTTCTTCCTCCCTTTACCCTTCCTTTGCTTTGGGGCGGGGTGGGGGAGGGGGAGCCTCGGGTCCTGGAACTCCGGTTCCCTCTGCCTGAGCGGCTTTTCCAGCAGCTGTGCCGGGAGCCACAGTCCGGCCTGGGTTTGGGCTCCAACCCGAGCGGCTTCATGCTGCTTAATGCAGGGATATGGCAGTCGGTGATCCAGGCTCTAAATTCTTTGGGAGCTAACAAATACAGTCCCCCGTCCCCGCCCTCTATCCTTTTTTTTTTTTTTTCTGTTTTAATAAACCAAAACGTGTGGTGCACCCGCGAGTTTACATCGGTGGTGCTTTTCCCTGTCTCGGTGTTACCATTCCCAGCTCATTCAACTTTATTTTCTCAAATCTTCAGTCGCCTTTGATGGCTGGGGACGGCGGGGGAGGGGGTGAATGGAGAGGCGCTTTGGAAAAGGCTGTTCGACCCCGGCTAGCCAGAACTGAATAAAAGTTGCAAAGGTTCGAATGTAATACTGCCTGGACATAATTTGCAATGGACTCTGAGATGGGGAAGGAGGGGAATGGGGGCGGGGAAGCTCCGCGAGGGAGGGGGAGGGGATCCGACCCAGCTGAATGGATGTGCACATTTGATCCAACGGAGAACCCCAATTTCAAGGTAAACGTTGCTTTTACTTTCGTACCGGGGTGCTTAAAACCCGAGCCGTCTACTGTGGTGAGGGGGAGGTCTGATAGACTAGTGAGCTTTGTGGACTGTGGTTCCGATCTGTCTCGATACGTCTGGGTGGCCAAATGTCAGTGATTCGTAGGCACACTTTGCACATGTGCCTGCGAATGCAGACGCTCTGGAACCAGGAGGGCTGATGCGCCTTGCTGATCATGTGCAAGCCTCCCAAGCTTGAACCCCTGCTCCAGAAACGTCCTGGCTCGAGTTCTGGTTTGAGATGCTCAGCAGCTTTTGGTGGGAGGCAGAAAGGAGGTTGGTTACAGAAAAGGCACAGGTTCCCCACAGTTCTAGCAACACTCCCCTGAACAACTCAGCACTCTACATACAGTAAGTCCACTTGTGACCATTCTCTAGAGTGTTGCCATCAACCCAGAGTAGTAAGTCAAAGGAAGCCTTCCAGTGACAAAGGCGAAGAACAGAGGGGGAGGGGATCAAAGTGGCTTCTTGGGGAGATTAAATTCAGATGTTAAAAACCCTGGCCTGTGACACTTGCCTCGACTTTGTCTTTTAATCATCCCAGCCTCCCTTTCTACCAGGAAGGGTCGTGAGGGAGAGCATCATTGACATTTAAATGTAATAAGCAACGTCAAAGATGGAGATGTTGGCAAGGTTGCTAGTTCCTTCCTAAATTTTGTTAATTCAGAAGGGCTGCTTGTTCCTACCGTGGCAAACTGAGTTGGAACCCAGGGTAATAGAGCATTTGCCTCTGATCGTTGGCTCACTTTCATCTGCTTCGGGGTAAGAACTAGAAATGTCCTCTTTAGACTCACGGTATTCAGAGGTGCTCCGAGATTGCGGATGTCTTTGCTGAGTTCTTTATAATCCATCGTGAAGAACTATTTCAGTGGTTAAAGATGCGGTTTTGTAGCTTCGTCGGCATGATCAATGAGGAGAAGTGGTCTCAGGGTGCTCTAGAAAGAAACGCTGCTAAGTGGCATGGTGCTTATACTCAGGGCTCTGCTATGCTGAATACTGTGGTGTAGTCCACCATCAAAGAGAACTCGCCCCCCCCCCACACACACACACCTCTACATTCTCAGCTCTCCCCAGGACAATTGGTGATTTAAAAGCTTCCCTGGCTTCTCTGGATGCATGATCTTGCATCCCTTTTGCCTCTGAAATTATTCTTCACGTCCCCACCCTGACATTTCTTGTGGTGCTTTAAAATAGCTCAAAGTATTGTGGCCCCACGCTCCTCTGTAAAAATGGGAGACCTTAACGGTAAAGTGTTATCACAGACGATTCTAAAAGAAAGCAAGGGGGCTGGGTCTATATGAAGTGGAGAACCCTGTTGAAAGAAATTACACTTCTTGCTCTTAAATTAGAGCCATGAAACTGTACTGACAGCCATTTTATGTATATTTATGGATTAGTTTTGATGGAGGATGGCAGAGAACACTAACACAGGATTTTATCTGCCTTTATCTTCTAAAGAGCAGAAAATTGGTGCCATGCTCATTGGGAAATACCATGAGACTCCAAATCAAAATGAATAGCTAATTTTGGTTAAGTCTGAAGGCTATCAATGTTCCCCTT